CCAGCCCCTCTCACCGGCTCGCGCTGCGCGTCCTCCCACACGTTGCCGTTGCTGTCGCTGGAGGACGCGACGCTGATGTAGTGCTCGTGGGAACCATTACTGCCCAGGCTGCCGTACCCACTGGAGCCGTTGTTGTGCACTGGCTACGCCACCGAACGCCACACACCACACACAGCGAGGGGGGAGACAGAAGGAGGAAGAGGCAGTAAAATTAGTTTTTATTCCCACTTTTTTCACAATCTGACAAGATTTCAGTTTAAAAAAACACATTAAAAAGGCATTATTTTAACCCTACCGCCTGGACACTTGTTCCTCAGCGATACGGTGTTGTGTGTCCATTTATTTGCAAGGAGCTAGCTAAGTTGTCTAAGAATAAGTAGGAGCAAAACGTTGCGAGGGTGAGGTTTACGCCCATGTGATCTAAAGCAGGCAAGGTGGACGGTAAAGCAGAAGACCGCTCTGCAGCTGTGTGGGAACCCGGAGACAAGCCTGTAGGAGAGTTGGCTTGGAGTGTGGGCTGCCCTTCACTCCAGTTTACTGTGTGCTCTTGAAACACATGGCACAGACCCAGGGAACACCGACCTGCAGGAAGAGCTTGTAGATTTGTGCCTGGAGCTCCTTGATTTCCTCATCGATGACGGGCAGCTGTCCTTTACACCTCGGCGCAAACACGTCCTCGTTGAGAGGCCCGCTGTGGGAGACAGAGACGTGAACCGGCTGCCCTGCTTCAGCTTGGCAAGACGGGGGAGCTCTCCAGACAAAGCACTGACAGTGGGAAGGCAGTTCAAAATGTTCCCTTCTCCATCTTTCTAAACGGACAAATCTTCCCATCCTTTCTGATCATTCTCAAACCCAACTTTTCAGAGGGCGAATGAAGATTATGTCATAGCACTTACGAATGTACTTTGATCATTTTATTGGTATATTTCCTTTAGTTCAACAACAAAACACTAAAATCTCGAATGACAAAATTGGGAAGAAAGCGTTATTAGAGGCTGGAGTGTGAAGGAAATGTAAGGAAGTGATTGTGAAGACTGGACACCACTGTCCCCCTCCGAGATACAGAAATCGGATTCCTGTGCAGCCCGAGAACCGAGTGAGCAGGGACTCACGTGCGGACTTTGTGTCTGCCGATGACGAAGGCCACCTTGCGGCTCCAGGGGTTGATGAAGCTGGACCAGCTGGTGTCCAGGGTGACGTAGTCGCCGTTCTGGCAGCGGAACCGTACCGGGGAGTGGTCGAAGGGCGACTGGCCGGCGTACTTCAGGACTGGGAAGGGGAGAAGGTGGGAAGAGGAAAGAGTCTACCACAGGCTGACGCGAGTGAACAGGCTGCTGCGAGCTGAAGCCCTGGTCAGGCCAGCACAGGTGGGTCATGAAGTTCTAAGTGCAAGACACATCAGATCCGATCTCTGCTGCATGTGATGCCATTGAGAGGCAATAAAAACAAAGGACAAATTGGCCGACTGTGGTTGTGTTCTTGATAGTTCTCAGGATGTTTAGGGACAACAGTCTGCATAATTTAAAATGTTGTTGGGGTTTATGCAGACATCTGAATTTATGTCAGTCTTGCTTTAACTAGTTGGATTTTTCTGCATCCTCTCCCATGCGATCTTAAAAATTATTTGTATAAGAAATCACATTTCACTTTTAAGGTTTGCTATTTAGAGAGGCATCTCTCTTGGTACTGGCCTACATCTTTTCCAATATATTTCAATCTAAAGAGAAAATGAATTTTAGTAATTAAAGTGCTGTAAGATTACAAATAAGAATTTATATTAATATCCCCATTCAATTTCAATGAACACTGCAACGTTCAGATACAGCAAGTAAATGTAAATGTTCAACGTCTGTGGACATTCACTGCATTTTCAGACATGCTTTTTAACACCAGAGGGCACTCAAGGCTAGGAAAACAAAGTGATGCAGACTAGCAGCAGAGAGGTGAGTGTAGATATTGGGCAATGTAATTTATGACAGTGAAGTTTGACACTATTGCAGTGCAGGTAGTTCCCCTCGGGACAAGAGACAGCGCACTGTTTTAAGACCAGGTGGTAAGTCCTCTCCCCAGTTCTCAGTTTGATATATGCAAACTCCCCCAAACAATATGGATTTGTGTTTATAAGGACTAACGCTCTGCAGCCTCCTACCCTGTCTCAGAACTAAAGAGTTTTAAAAATGCAAAATTTATAGTGTCATCTTACAGATGTGTTTCTCAAGCTGTGCATTGCTTTTGAACACCATAACTCCAAATAAAAACTGGATTAAAAAAAACTCAACACTAACCTTGTTACATAAAGAACAGATGAGGGCACTGACAAACATGTAGCCAAAGATAGCTAGTTTCACAAACTGACCACAGCATCATAACAAAACCCCAAAACTCTGCTTTGGGCAAATGTGACCAATTCCAGAGCGGTATACAGTATGGTGCCAGCTGTACCCTTTGCCTCAGCAGGTGGCGTTCACAAGGAAACCCAACGATCAGACGTACTTTTGCGGTGCATGGCCAGCATGAGTGGGCGGTCTTCAGGATGCAGGCAGGCGAGGACTGAGGTGCCAATCAGGTCCTGAGGAAGGTACCCAAGAAGGGGAACAGCACTGCCAACACAACAATACAGTCTCACACTCCACACAAAGCCAGCGCTACAGCCAATAGTGAAAAACATTACTTGAAACACAGTTTTCCCTTCTGTTTTTCTGGTAACTGAAGTTTTGTCTTTGGAAATACTAATACTGTACCCTTCTCAAGAACAGCACCTCTTACACCTCCTGCTGGCAGACATTGTACTCAAAATGCCATTTCCTCTTGAGCACTTATGATGGACAATGCTGATGGCCAAAGGTAGAACTGATTTTTAGAGGAGAGGCTGAATCAGACACTTGCAGTATAAATATCCACCTCGTACAGTTGCAGTCTGCCACTTTAACATCCATAGCTACTTCATGCTTTGGAAGATCATGTTTAACCAGAACCTTATACTGCAGACATAAGGTACAAGGCAGGACCACACCCTGGACAGGACACCAGTCCCTCACAGGACACAACAGGACACACCCTGGACAGGACACCAGTCCCTCACAGGACACAA